TGTTAGGAGAAGGATTTTAAATTCTATTCTGAATTTTACAGGGAGCCAGTGGAGAGAAGCTAATATGGGAGAGATATGATCTCTCTTGCTAGTTCCTGTCAGTACTCTGGCTGCAGCATTTTGGATTAACTGGAGGCTTTTTAGAGAATTATTTGTCAGGTTTTCCCGGCTGCACTTTCCTCTCTTACTTTTTCTCACTCTGGTTTTGCTTCCTCACCCTGATTACACAATCTGGCACACCTGCCCCACTTCCCCTGAGTGTCACCAGCTGCACCTTGTTAGTTTCCTCCCTACTTATACCCTGCTCACCATTCACTCCCTTTCCAGTTCAATCCTTATTCTCAGGCCCCTTTGCTCGTGGTTTCTTTTTAGTCCTCCAGTCATACGCTCTCTTCGTCCAGATGTTTTACTCTTTGCTCCTCCTTACCCTAGGTCTCCTTGTCTCCAATATCCTCTCATCCATTTTCCTGCTGTTTGCTCCTTTACTGTGGACCTCTCCTCTGGACCCTCGAACTACTCAGCCCTGCCAGTCTCCACCATACAGGTCGATGCACAGTCCCCACTAACTGTCTGTGTTTGCTCCTGTCTCCTCAGCCATCATCACTTCCACCATGATCAGTTCAGGAGTGACCCCAGCGTCCGCAGCCCGACCTCTACCATCCATCTCACCATTAACTCTCTTCCTCTGCAGCAGATCAACACCCAGTGACTCTTTATCATTCCACAACTGTCTGTTTATTTCACTGTGACATGCACTGTAAATAAATCTTACACTACTTGCACCGAAGCCAGCTACCTGGGTCCATCTTATTTGCTCGTTCATCGCCGTTTCCGAGCAACCGTAACAGATTGAACTGGCCAACATGGACCCTGCTGACTCCGGTGCAAGTAGCTCCTCTGCTACTGCTCACTATAACACACAAATGGACAGAATGGTTCAGGCACTGCAGCAGCAACAACAGGACATTTCCACGTTAACTCAACAGGTTGCTCAACTCACCTCCCTTATACTGTCTCAACATGGTCACGCTGCCACCCCAGATCAACTGCCACCTTCAGCTCCCTGTTCTGCCAGTCCTCGCCG